AGAGTATTCGAGTTGTGGACTAACCAGTGCTTTTTAACAGTTCCAGCAATAAACCTCCTTGCTCTTGTATTCTATGCCTTGGCTAACAAATGCAAATATTCCATATACCTTCTTAAACACCTTATCTACCGGTGCTGCTACTTTCAATGATCTCTGGATATGCACCCCAAAGCCCTGCTGAACTTCAGTCCTGTTGAGGGTCCTATTAGCCATTGTGTAATCCCTTGCTTCTATGGCCCTCCCCAAGTGCATTAGATCTCAATCTGGAGTTGAATTCCATTTGCCAGTGTTCTGCAAGCTTGACCAGTTTGTTGATACCCTCCTGCAGTTTATGGCTATCTTCCTCATCATTTACCACCCTACCAATTTGTGTCATCCACTGACATTTTGATCATATCGCTGACATTTAATTTCAAACCATAATGCACACCACAAACAATCCCAGCACCAAGCCCTGTGGAACCACACTGCAAACAGACTTCCAGTCACAGAAGCATCCATCTATTATCACCCTACCTCAGGCAATTTTGGATTCTTTTTGGCCAGCTGCTATGGAGAACCTTCTTTAAATGCTAAAGTCTAAATAGACAACAGCAAATGGATTACTTAGTGAAAAAAACTAAATGATCCAATTTGTCAAACACAGACTTCCCTTAGCAAATCCATGCTCGTTAACTTGATTAATCCACGCCTCTCCAAACATATGTGCTCTGCGTATCAGAATTAGTTCGAAAAACTTCCTCAATATTGAAGTTAGACCAACTGGCCTGTAACTTCTTGGTCTACCTTTCCTTTATTTAAAAAAAAAAGTAGCAGGACAATGTTTGCTGTCCCCATCAATCTACCAACACCTCACTTATGGCCAGAAATTGGTTTTAAAAATTGCTGCAAAGCCCCTAATATCAACTGCCTTAAAAGCCTGGGATACATCTCATCCTGGCCTGCAGATTTATCTATGTTTAAGTCTGCTAATCCAGCTATTTTTCCTCTCTCTCCGAAGTGTCTTGGTCCTGGTGATATCAGTGTTGTTTTTTTCCCCATTGTGAAGACCAACACAACGTTCATTGAGGACTGAGCCCACATACACATTTACTCCCATGTTCCCTCATGGGTCCTGCTCATTTCCTAGTTATTCTCTTGCTCTTTATAGAACTAAAACGCAAAAACCCTTTGGTGCAATGTTAGATTGGAAAGTCAGTGCATGGTTCGTGAGGACTCCAAGGCTGTGACTAATCAGGTTCAGGCAGATTAAATGGCCAACAGATGTTGGAAAGGGCAGATTCGGAGTGGAACTGGTTGCAAGGAGATGGAACTTGTAGCAGGGAGTGACATCATGTCTTTGCTCTTCAAACTTAGCTGGAATTAATTATTGGTTCAAACCAGAATACCAGCCAAGGTGCTATTGCAGAGAGGTAGTGGAGAGCTCAAAAGTGCTACGATTGATACACTAGCTTTCAGTGTATGGAAAGCTGATCCAATGCCTCTCAATAAGAGGTGGCAAATGTGGATCTTTGGAAAACCCAACAGAATTTCCCCCACTTTATCTAAAGGAAACATGCATTCTAAGGAAACTGTCACCACATTTGACCAGTCAGCCAAAATCATACCCACAACTTACTGATCGATGGGATATTGAGAAGGCGGTAGGGAAGGGAAGATATGTCACAAAGTATTGTAGGGTGTAATTTAAACTGACACATTGAAATAACAAAATATTGCTGACTTACTCGCTGCTTCATTACACCCTACTCTCCTGCTTTAATTCATCTGTCTTTCTACTCTCTTTCACATGCAATTTATCTTCCTCTGCAAAGGCACATAAAACTTGACCCAATATTCACAACCTGCGATAGACATGGCTCTGTATTGGCAATACTGTAGCAATTTTTGAACCAACTAATTCATAATGCTCCAATAGACTTTCTTTGGGGTGTCCCTCACCTGAAGGGTAGTTCCTCCTGTTATATACACTAGGTTATAGTTTTATTTCATATGTTATGTACAATTTGTAGTTTGGACTAACTTTTAGGCAACAAGTCAGTAATTAAGTTCAAATTTCAAAACAAAAGATAAAGTGAATGGCAGGTGTCGTAGAATCATAGAATCCCTACAGTGTGGAAACAGGCCCTTCGGCCCAACAAATCCACACCGACCCTCAGAGCATCCCACCTAGACCCATCCCCCCCTTTAACCTACACATCTACACATCCCTGGACACTACGGGCAATTTAGCATGGCCAATCCACCCAGCCTGCACATCTTTGTGCTGAGAGGGGAAACCGGGATACCTGGGAGGAAACCCACACAGACACGGGGAGAACGTACAAACTCCACACAGACAGTTGCCAGAGGCCGGAATCGAACCCAGGTCCCTGGCGCTGTGAGGCAGCAGTGCTAACCACTGTGCCACCGTGTGTCCTTTCCCTAAAATAGGGGATTTCAAAGTCAGGGGCATTTTTTTTTTTTTTTTTTTAATTTTAAAAGGGATGAGGTGAAAGATTTAAAAAAAAAAATGACATAAGGGGCTTTTTATTTGAAATGCAGTGGTTCATTTGCCAACACTTGGCCCACAGACTTGAAATGGAATGCCAAGTGCTCATCCAAGTCCTCTCTCAAGGCTGTGAGGCGACTCACCGTCATCACCCTCCCAGGCAGCACATTCCAAGCTATCACCACCCTCCAGGTGGAAAGGCTTTTACTCACATTCCCCCTAAACCACCTACACCTCACCCTGAACCCGGTGTCCCAAGACTAAGCCTTCAACTATAGGAGAACAGCTGCTCCTTACCCATTCTGTCCATGCCCCTCTTCATCATTTTTCACCTCAAGTCAGATCGCCATGCGGTCTTCTCTGCTTGAATAAAAACAACCCAAGCCTATCCAAACCTTCCTTCCCAGGCAGCATCCTGGTGAATCTTTTTCTGTACCCTCTACCGTGCAAACACATCCTTCCTGTAAGGTGGCGACCAGAACTGCACACAGTACCCCAGATGTGGTCTCAAAGCTCTGTACAACTCCAACATAAATTACAAAAGCTGACTGTGGAAGTTATGCCTTGATTGATATAGGCAAGTGTCCCATACGCCTTTTCCACCATCTTACTAACATGCCCTCCCACCTTCAGAGATTGAAGAAATGAAAGGAGTTTACTAATTGGTTTAAATAGAATTTAAGAATGCAGTAACAGCCTGTGTAAATCCAGGTGAAGAGACACAGGCTGCCAATATCATTAATATAATTAAAATTTGTTTCCCAGAACAAGCTGATGAGTTCCAGTTTTTCTTAAAGGGGAAGAGCCATCTCAGAAATAAGAGGAAAGTTATATTTGTATTTGTTGGTTTACTATGTTATATTGAAAATCACATTGAAGTGGGGATGTTCGCCGACGATTGCACAATGTTCAGCACCATTCGTGACTCCAGATACTGAAGCAGTCCATCTTCAAATGCAACACGATCTGGACAATATCCAGGCTTGGGCTGACAGGTGGCAAGCGATATTCGTGCCACACAAATGCCAGGCTATGACCATCACCAATAAGAGACAATCTAACCACCACCCCTTGACATTCAATGGTGTTACCATTACTGAATCCCCCACTATCAACATCCTGGGGGTTACTATTGACCAGAAACTCAACTGGACTCACCACATAAACACAACGGCTACAAGAGCAGGCCAGAAGCTGGGAATACTGCGGCAAGTAACTCACCTCCTGTCTCCTCAAAGCCGGTCATACCACCTACAAGGCACAAGTCAGGAGCGTGATAGAATACTCCCCACTTGCCTGGATGGCTGCAGCCACAACAACACACAAGAAGCTTGACACCATCCAGGACAAAGCAGCCCGCTTTATTGGCACTACATCTACAAGCATCCACTCCCTCCACCACCAATGCTCAGCAGTAGCAGTGTGTACTACCTACAAGATGCACGGTGGAAATTCACCAAAGATCCTCAGACAGCACCTTCCACACCCACGACCACTTCCATCTAGAAGGACAAGGGCAGCAGATACATAGGAACACCACCACCTCCAAGTCACTCACCATCCTGACTTGGAAATATATCACCGTTCCTTCACTGTCACTGGGTCAAAATCCTGGAATTCCCTCCCTAATAGCATTGTGGGTCAACCCACAGCTGGAGGGCTGCAGCAGTTCACCACCACCTTCTGAAGGGCAACCAGGGACAGGCAACAAATGCTGACCAGTCAGCGATACCCACATCCCACAAAGGAATAAAAAATAAAAAGATGTGAGGGAGGATGATGAGGAGTGAGGGGGGGATAAAAAGAAAAATATGATCATAATAGGGGAAGGAGGTGGAATGCAGATGTGTTTGGGCAGGAGAGGTGAACACAGTCACATGGGTGTGACAGAGAACTATGCGTGACTTATTTCTTCCACTCGATCCTTTTAATATTGCTTCTTTTGACCAAGCTGATTACAGTACTCAGTGTTAGCTTGGGACATTACACTAAAGCGATTTAGAAAAAGAATCACAGCTTGTTGGTGTGTGTGTAGTTGGCAGCTTCTATCTATTCACAGGGGAAGCAGATCAAGTGAACCAGGGTGGGGTACGAGTCATTTCAATGTTGCTTTGCCGAGCATGCATGAGAAGATGAGACCTCAAGCTACTCACTTGCAAGTGGCCTCTTCACTTTCTCCAGTCTATGGAACCCTCACACTTCAAAATCAGTGGATGCTCCGAAATCAACTTATTAGGTCTTGAACCCAGACCTCTTGACCCAGAGGTAGGGACATTACCACTGTTCCATAAGAGCCCTACAGTTATCCCTGCATCTCCTGGTACAGTGAGCAATTACATGGGAGGTCCAGTACATCAGACAGAAACCAAAACAAAAAAATGTCGTGGTGTCTCTGAGAAGGGGTGCAGTCTTTAGCTGTGTACCAGGACAGTAGAGTGAAAGAAGCCATTGTGAACTTGCTGAAACAACAAGAGGAAAAACTAAAAATCACCAGGAAATTATTCCATACCTGTCGCTGGTCTGCTCTCTCTATGGCTGCATTAGCACCATAAGCATTGCAGGACTCCACAATGTAGTCTGAGCTGACTCCAAGTACAGAACTTGAACCACCACAGGAACCATCACAAACCACAATCACACGGGGCAGCTCACATGTTGGAATCTTCTTCAGGTATTCCTCGGTGAACTAGATGAAGGTGGTTGGGGAAGGAGGACAAGGAGAAACAAAACAGATGTTACTTACATATTTACCACCAAACAAAAAAAATCAATAGGATGAAAGTATGTCAATTCAGTCGCTTATTAAGAAGCTGTGGAAAGGCCTTTGATCCAGTCAGCTGTCAAAAGAAATTAAAATCATCAGATTTCACCGCAGTCTCTGGAAACAGAAGGTCAAACTTGGATCCAAATCTCCATGGTAACCATGCCAGTTGGCATATATTATTAAAATTGTCAGCATTTGCTGCGGATACAAAAAAGGAAGGCAGTAATCAGATAAGTTCAACATCATCATTTATTAAGGGTTATCATCCAATGTAGAGCAGGACTTGGAGAAGGAGATGAGGTTTCAATTCAGACACGCCTGTTCTGTGAATCTGGTACCCGAGCTCTTTCGTCTAAAACACTTTTTGTAAAATTCCCTTCACCTTTCACAAAAGATAAAGTCAAAAGACGAAGTCAAAGCCTTTTGGACAGTGCACTCCCTGGTCAATATTTACTCCTCAGCCAACATCAATAAAAATAGCAGATCATGTTGGCATTATCACATGGATGTTTCTGGAAGCTTGCTGTGTCAAAATTGGATGTCACTTCCCTACACATCAGTGATTTGATTGCAAAGCGCTCCATTGCTTGAAAAGCACTTTGGGTTATCCCAAGGTTACTATAGAAAAGACAAACTGAAAGATTTGCGTATGTCTATCTAGTTTGACAAAGGTGGAACGGGGGAAATAAGGGCAAAATATTTTCAGTGAAAGCAGGTTTTCCACACAGTGCAGAGGAAGAATGAGACTTCAGCAAGGCAAAAGAGATTAGCTAAATGCGGTGCAGGAAAATTCTCTATTTATAAAGCATATCTGTAATTTTGCTACTCAGTTTGGAAATCAATTTCTCCCCACCCCAAGGGACACTCTTATCTTTTGAAAGGGAAGTACATTAAAATGGTTTTGCTTAAAAATCTCTGTACACAAGAGAAAGCTGAACATTCTGGTCAAAAACAAAAGCCACTCAATATAAAAATAACCATTTTGTTTAGGTGCAATCTGACTTTTTTGGGGGAAATAACAATTTTACCCACTGATCCAAGAATATGGTTTCTTTTTAAAAAAAAATCTTAGGGGAATCAGTTTGTTTTGTTTTAGATCAATTATGGACAAAAAAAAGTAACCTGTTCAAAAATGTTATTACATATTAGTGGGAGCAAGTGAGGCTTGAACACAGAGGCCTCCTGGATCAGAGGTAGGGACACTACTACTGCACAAGAGCCCTAAATCTCAATATGAGGTCCAGTATCTTGTGTCCAATTTAGACTGTCTTTTAAGCACATTCTCATTATTTCTAATGTCTTCTGCCACTCAAATCAGGTTAAAAAAAAAGAGTTGACCTCAATTCCTTGAGTTTCAAATTTAATGAATAGTCTGGAGGCTCATTGAACTTTTTTTTTTAAAATTCAGCATTCATGGGATGAGAGAGTCATTGACCAGGCGGCATTTATTGCCCATCCCTAATTGCCCAGAGGGCAGTTTAGAGTCAACCACATTGCTGTGGGTCTGGAGTCACATACAGGCCAGACCAGGTAAGGATGGCAATTTCCTTCCCTAAAAAGGGCATTAAACCAGATGGGTTTTTCTGACAAATCAACAATAGATTCACGGTTAGATTCTTAATTCCAGGCATTTTTTTTTTTTAAAAATTGAATTCAAACTCCACCATCTGCCATGGCAGGATTCGAATCCCGGTCGCCAGAACATTATTTGGTGATCTAGATTAGCAGTCCAGCAACGATTCCACTAGGCCACTGCCTCCCTAATAAATTGTGAAGGTCCATAAAAAATAACATCCATCTTTTCTTCCCCAATAATTCATTTTTTTTTGAGCAATTAATGAGTTTAGTTGCAACAATAACGTAAAAGTCAGTGAGGAATTTACATAAATTACTCAGAATTTAATCATTTGGCACAACTCAAATATATTAGCATTGTTCTGTAAGCAAATACTGCCACTATTTTGAACACAAGATCAAAATCAGTAATAGGACAAATGCTCAATTAAAGCAATGTTGCCAGAGGTAAATTTACTGATCAGGGCTACAGGGTTGTTCTTCCTCTATAAATAAATAGTTTTGGTAACCTAATGAATGGACCAATTATTTAAATCTTATGTGGCCATCCTGCTTGGTCAGAAACACAAGTTGTTAATCAGCCAGGCTGACAATTCTGAATCTCAGCTGTGCCCTTCTCACATATTTATTTATCCAGCTGAATCTAGTTCTCAGTGGTTCAGCACATTTGAGGAGAGAAACAACTTTCTTTGCCAGTAAGTTACTGATAAAGTAGGTTCTGGAAACTAACATTTCCAACAATAATTTTGCCCACAAAAAATCTGACTAAAATTTCTCAGGTTCCCACAGTGGGGTGGGCAGATTTCCTAACCTTGGCAGGAGATAAAGATGGATTATAAAAAGAACTAAACACATTTTCTCCCATTTGAAATGAAGAGGAGATACAAGAAGCAGGAAGACGAAACAAAAAAAAAGTTAGTGGCAGGAATGATGGCAACAATTAATTAGTGCAACGTACAAGTTTCAAAATATATTCTATTGGGAGGTTTGGTCTTTATTTTCAGACTTGCTAGAACATTACTGTTAAAACATAAACATACAGTCATACAGGCGAGAACAGAGAGTGTGTGCTACTATCTGCTGATTCCTGAATCCAGCTCATGTCTGTGCAAACATGTATACACTGCAAACATCTTTGCTAATTCAGGAAATATGACCAAAGGTCACCCAATTGAAATAAGAAAATGGTGTCCCAGATTTCCTGTATTGGGAACACAGCAACAGGAGTTGACCATTCAGCCCATCAAGCATGCAAGATCAAAAACTTTGATGCCTTTTACCCACCCCAATCGCCATAACTTTGCATGGCACTGGTATCAGAAATCTACCAATCTACTATAAACATACTCAAAGAGTGAATTTCAACAGCCCTCTATTTTATGATGTTGTCCACAACATAGTCTGTGATACCTTCCCCGATGACCACTCCTAGTACACAGAGATATTTGCTGCCTCTACCAGTATGTGAATGGGTACAGGTTGTTTCAGGTAGCTTGCTGTCAGCTATCCTTCTGTCTTGGGCCTGTCTAGTTATTAATCAGTAGAGATATGCCAACATTGACTTATTCACAGAAGAGTCAATGTTTTCGATAACAACCTGGTTTATTGCAGTATGGTGAAAAGAACAACAATATTTGCTCAGGCATAATGGCCAAGACAGTAATGAGCTGGTATAGATATGTCTGCTCTCTTTGAAAGCTGGGGTAGAACACTTTCTCTGGCCCATCAGACTGTGTGAAATATCAGTAGAATGAATGGATCCAATATAACGTGAACTTCAACCCCTTCAAAACCATTATGTTCAACAACAAATCTCACTTTCACTGATACACAAAAGTCATAGTGCACCCAAACAGTCTCCACCCAAGGTAGTCAAACAGGAGGCTGGAAGAACACAGCAAGCCAGGCAGCATCTGGAGGAAAGGAGCAGTCAACATTTTGGGTATTACCCTTCTTCAGAGTCAGAAAGCTGAGGATCCAGTTGGAGAATGGAACTGAGATCAGTGTTGAAGGCAGAGCTGTAGTCAACGAGCAGGAGTCTGATGTAGGTATCTTTGTTGTCCAGATGTTCCAGGGATGAGTGCAGCATGAGGGATATGACATCCTCGTGGACCTGTTACGTCGGTAGGCAAACTGTCGGGGATTGAACTGGGCTTGGAGACTGGAGCTGATGTAGTCCATGACCAGCCTCTCGAAGCACTTCATGATTATTGAAGTCAAAGCTATTGGGGCGGTAGTCATTAAAGGCACATTGCATGTGTTTTCTTAGGTACGGGGATGATGGTGGTCATCTTGAAGCAGGTGGGGACTTCGGCTTGTAGCAGGGAGAGGCTGAAGATGTCAGTGAATACCTCCACCAGTTGGTCCACACAGGATCAGAGTGCTTGGCCGGGGACACCGTCCAGACCCATCGCTTTTCTTGGGGTGGCTCCCAGGAAGAACTGATCTGACTTCTGAAGCAGTGAGTGACGGAGAGAACAGATGTATCCAGAGTTGTCAGGGCAGACATGACCACGCTGCTTGTATTCTGCTCAAACAGAGCATAGAAACAACTGACAGCATCAGGGAGGGATGGGTCATTGTCCACTATCTTGTTCTGCTTCATTTTGTATTCCATAATGTTGGTTAGGCCTTGCCACAGACGGCGAGAGTCTGTTTGGTAGGTCTGAGCCTCTAATTTGGTCTGGTGCTGTCTCTTGGCCTCCCTGATGGCTTTGCCATATCTGGATTTTCTGTTTTGGTCTGGGTCACCCGACTTGAATGCTGCACGTCTGGTCTTCAGTAAGGAGTGGATTTCCTGGTTCATTCAAGGTTTTTTGGTTGGGGAACACTTGGGTTGACTTCTTTGGTACACAGTCCTCCGTACATTCGCTCATGAAGTCAGTGACAGTGGTGGGATACTCGTCTAGGTTTTCCATTGAATATTTGAACACAGTCCAGTCCACCAATTCCAAACAGTCCCAGAGATCGTCTTCCACTGCCTCGGACCAGCACTGTACTTCTTTTCGCAAAAGGTTTCTCCTGTTTCAGCTTCTGTTGGTAAGCAGGGAGGAGGAACACGGCGCGGTGATCCGATTTCCTGAACTGTCGGCAGGGGATGGAGCGGCAGGTTTCTGTGATTGTTGTGTAGCAATGGTCCAGAATTTTCGGTCCCCTGGTAGGGCAGGGCATGTGTTGGTGGTACTTTGGCATCACTCGCTTGAGGTTGGCTTGGTTGAAGTCACCGGTCAGGATGAACAGAGCCTCGTGGAATTTTGTCTCTAGTGTCTTGTGGCGATGTAAATCTCCTCCAGGACATTCTACATACCTTCACATGGTGGTATGTAGACTGCTGACAGGATGGCGGA